TCCAATGCTTAACAACCCCTTCCATTAAGAAATTCTTCCTGATGTCTAACCTGAGCCTCTCCTAATGCAGAGTGAGACCATTTCTTCTTGTCCTGTCACTTTGATACAGATTAAACTTCACAAAAACAGTTTTCAATACACTTTGGTCCTATCAATTCTGCTATTCAGTCTGGAATATCTTCAAAATCATAGGTGCTAGATTAAGTTATGTAAAACAGAGTTGGAAGTTTAGGGTTTTCACCTAAAGCAATGGATATTAGTGAAACATCTGCTTTGCTGGTAGAATGAAAAGGTATGCTTGTGTTAAGTAGGTGCATCCACTCCTTTCATTTTGTGTGAACTGCATCTGAAAATGTCTGTGGTGGGATTTAAATGTATTTGTGATCATGTGTTTAAATAAAGGAAAACAGGTTCTTACCCAATATATAAACAATCTTTTTATATAATGAATTCTGTTTGATCTGTTAGGGCATAATTGGTTTGAGGATAAAGTCTTTGAGGGAAGAGTAATATATATTTAGATCATTAGAAAATTATCTTCATTTCCGTCCATTATACATAGTTTGAAAAATGAAATTTCAGAAATAGCTGAAAGCTTTTACTTTAAAAAACTCAAAACTTTCTTTGAAACCTAAAGTAGAGATGATACTGCACACTAAAAGATCCTTTGGTCACAAAGGTCATACTTTTGGTCATACTACACTAGGTGACGGTGTTGAAAATCTGATTCTCATTACTGGAAACAGTTATAAAGCCACAGAAGATGAGTAGGAAGAGGAATGAGCTGATCTACACATATTCATCTTATAACCGACTTGACTTTTTTTCCAGTGTTTGTTATTTGAGTGTATTTTAACTACAGTGTGTTGCAAGAGACCATGATATAATTCATAAGTATGTCAGCAATAAGAAGTACCATTTCCTAGAGGCATTGTTTATTTTCATGTCTTCCAGGACTTTTTGTGGGTTTTGAGATATTAGCAATTAGTATAAACCTAAAGTAAAACTCAGTTAAAAAAAGAATAGTGTGTGAACAGAGTAGGTAAGATATTTTTTCTCTCCCTGTATGCTTTAGAGGTGTTTGTCACAGAAATGTCCGAATATTAACATATTTCAGTTTTCTTAGATATGTATTTGTTTTTTGCTCTGTGATTTCCTGGGAATTTTCCAGGATGAACTTTCAGATTATTTTATTAGCTATAGATTCTATTTGACTGGAAGCCTTAGAGATTTATTATGCTCAAATACCTTTAGTAATTACAAATTAATTTATTGAGAACCTTTCAGAAAGTGAGAAAAAGCTTTCTTTTGAAAAATTCATTAAAGCAGGAGTTCTGTAACAAATGTTCTCCTGGCTTTTTTTATAGCAGCATTTTTTCACAAAAACAATTCACATTGGGTGATTATAGACAGTCCAGTAGGATAATTGTGGAATTATGTGACTACTTAGAAATATTTCTTTCCCTCTTGTGCTTCTCATGCTATTAGTTTGAAACAAAATCACTTAGGATGCTGTTATTTTAAAGGAAGTGTTCTTAATTATTGCAAGTTCTGTTCTGGGGCACTGTTGCTACTATGTAAGTCAAATCTGTTTGGTAGTGAACTCATCAACTTTGTGCATTTCAGTCCAACTACTTAGAATTGATGTGAGGTGATCTAGAGCAGAGGGCAGCTTTTCAGTCAAAGCATGCAATAAAACTGGGGACTTGGTATTACAAACACGTTTTGGACAGGACAACTGCCTGGATTTTGTCTTCTTTCCTGTTAGGCTGCAGTTATACTGGCAAAGAATAAATTGCCAGAAGTGACCGAGGGGAACTGAGGGTACACTTTCAGTTCTCTGTTCAAATTGTACAGGAAACTACCAGGGTTTCAGACTCCTCTCAAGGCAGACAGAGACACTGTTTTTCAAACCAGTTCTTTGACAGGCTCACAGCATAGTTGTAGCAATAGGGTTACTGAAGAAGAGCTGTCCTGCTGTTAAATTGTGTCAATGTGAAAATTCCGATCATTTGGGGAAAAGGGTTAGCATCTATTGGTTTGAGATGCCTGATTCGCAGTTAGACATTAGCAGTAAGTTCTCCTAGAAGTAGTTTGGTCTTCTCATGTAAAATTCCATATAAAGGAAACCACTGAGAATCAATACAGAGTAATAGAAAATGCAGTTATTCAAATATTGATACTTTCATTGGGAAGATTAGCTTCTCAAGATGTGTATGATTTTGAAGGTGAAGACAGCAGGTAAGAAAGAAGATTGTTGGAGAGCATAAGTAAAGCATCTGCATCAATAAAAATGCTTCTCCATTAGTGATTCTGAGGTAACCTTAGGACAGTCTAGATTACCCTGGGTGTTGGGGCTGTTTCAAGCTTGACCTTACATAGGATTTAATGACCTTTCTATGAGCTCAGACTAAGCAAGAGTCCCAGCAGGTCACGGTGTCTTGTAAACTTAATTTTTAGATCAGGTGGAAATGTTCTCCTGGAATGTGGACCTCAGTTTCAATATAGTAGTTAAAAAGCGTGTACAGCCTGGATGAGAGGGAACCAAAGCAAGCACTGCTGAGGCTGTTAGTCACACCTGCTTGATGTCATTTTCATGCTTCGTCAAGCATGGAACCATATTAAGCCCATAGCTGTGGAACATTGCTTTAAAATTCTACTGCTTCATTTGGGGAAGAAGGGATGGATATTCCCTTGCTTGCTGAATGGAGCTTGTTTTGTGAATGAGGAAGATTTGAACAGGTTTTTTAGTTGGTTTGGGTTTGTTTTGTTTGCTTTGCAGTGTTTAATGGCCATTTTGAATGTAGGGAAGGACTACAAAAATGGACGCTTGATAATTAAAAACAAGTAACAGATAGCCCTAAAGTCTACTTTTGGGTAAGTAGTAGGCATGATCATAGAATATTTGTGCCCAGGTGTCCTGTGGTCTGTTTATACCTCAAGCAAAGTAATAAGAATTTTCTGTTTGTTTTGTCTCTAGTCATGGAAAACACTGAGTCTGAACCAGTGCCAGCTTCTAGAATTCCATACAGCACTCCTTATATCTTTGAGTAACACATCTGTCTGTCCTACACTTACAGCATAGCAGGTCTGCACTGCCCTTTATTGGGGCTGAATTGGGAATATCAGTCTAACCACACAGTTTTCACCTGATAAACAGCTGAATACAGAGGCTGAACAGGAGTACTGACATACATAAACATACAGTCCAGGAGCACTTGGAAGTAATGCGTGTTTTCCTTAGAAAAATATGAAGGTCAATGATGTTACAGATAAAAATGCAGATTAGTGTTGTTTTTAATTAAAACTTGAATATTTTTCCAGACAAACAACTGTTTTTATCAAATATTTTGTATACCTTTTATCTTAATATGGGCTTGGGTGAGTTGGCACAAAACTCCCATGCTCAAATTGTCTGTCTAAAAAATAATTTTATTATGCAGACATTTTATTGGTTTTCAGTTTGTTTTTTCTTCAAAGACTTGATACAACATGTGTATGTGATAGTATATCCATAATATAATCTCTGTAGCATCTGGTTTTCTGACTTTGTGAGTGTAGATAACAATATTAATAAGAGTAATATCCCCACTGACTTTTGGTTAGTGCTGAAAAAATGTTTTAGCAAATAGCTTATTTGAAAAAAGGTTGCCTTCAGGACTACTGTCTTTAAATATGGGTTGAATTCAGCAAATGGTTTACATTCTCATCTCTTTCTTCTTAAAAGAGGTGGAAAAAATTAATAAAAGCAAAGAAAGCCTTTCAAAATAAAGTATTTTAGAATTTATACAAGATTTTTCTAAATTATTAATTTAGAAAAATGTTTTTAATTCATACATGAAGCTGAATAATCCATTATTGCATGTATTTAGGATTTCTCACAAGTAGATTAGTCACATACAGATGCACAGGAGCATGGTTTAACTGCAGTTATTTGAGCTTGCAGCTTTTATTCTAGTTAGAAATATCTAAATATCTTAATGATTAAACATTTGTGAGTAAATCTCCCGCGAAAGACAAAACCACTAGGCTTTAGAAAATATACTGTAGGTGGAGTTGTGCAAGTTTCCTTGTGGAGCTCTGCCAGTACATGGGAATCTGAATCTGAAAAGTCCTCTTTATTCAGATGCTAGACTCCTCAAAAGCAGGTTTTTGGTGTGGCAAATGAAAATGAGTTTTCAGAACTTATTTTTCTTTGAAAATAAAATTTGTTTCAAAGCTTGTATCTCACAGAGAAAATCCAGTGAGCTTAACTCTGTGTTGCCTGGCGTTTCTGTACTTGAGAAACTGTTCTCCAGTGAAGCTGTAGCATTTTTCACTGTCATGTTCAACGATTTTCCGACTTTTTTGTATCTTTTCTTTTTAAGATGTTTTCTTAAGTATACAGCTGAGGAGACCAATAACAAAAAGATAAATCCATAGATGATGAAAGGATTTTCCTGAGCTTAGTAGTTAACGTAATAGTCTGAAAAGAAAAGAATTTACAAGTACTTGTTCAAGTGTGCTGTGTAGAGAGTGAATAAAATAAACAGCAAGATGTGTTGTGATAGGAACTCAGATGATCAAAGGGAACCACTGAATAGGAATAGTTATTCTTTCAGATAAAATAAGGAAGTAATTCCTTTGTGAGTTTTTGTGATCATTTCTGTTGGAAAACTTTGTATGCATTACTTGGAATTTCAATGAAGAGAAAAGCAATACAGCCTAGATAATAGTGTCAGCTTTGAGCACGAGGTGGCATGTGGACATAGCTTGAGCTACTTCTCCAAATCATTTGAATGGAAATATTGGATTAGTTAACCTTGTGTCAGGTCTGTTAGTTAAATAAACCCTCCAACTGTTCCTGACTGAAGGATGCATAGTTGTGACTGAAAGATGCTGCTGCTTTTCATTAGAATTTTGTCAAACATATCCTGCTAACATAATGATTTTAAAATAAAATGGTTTATTCGATGGAAAAGGATAACAAGCAGAAAATTCACAGCCTTTTCTTTTCACAGGGTGCTTCAGCCCAGTAGGAAATCCTCTTAGTCGAACACTATTGGGTAGACTACAGAAGGTAAGGAATTCTCTTTGCATTTTTTTTAAATTGATGTTTAACTATAAAATGTCACTATTCACAAGTTCTCATTGTAGAGAGGTGTTTTTTTATCCTGTCTTTATTCATAAAAGAGGTGCCTTCAAACCAATTGTCTACATGGTCAAATTAGCTTATGCTGTGACCAGCTGGTAGTGAGATCAGATATCTGCAAATCAAAAGCTTTATTTTTTTTCATGACTTAATTTTTGTTGTTTAGAAATAAATAAATAAGATCACACTCATGTGGTTTCTGTTTTTTACTAAAAAAACAGGTGTTGATGAGTAGCTAAGAGAAAAAGACAATAACTTGGAATGAAATTCTCACTGCAGCACCATGTTCTCATTGTTTACTCATACTTCATCTTTTTGTAACAAGTTAAATCACAGCTATCCTCTGTTTACTTAATTGCTTATCTCTTAAATATTGATTGTAAGCGTCTCCTAATTATATTCGTTATTTCATTTATTTCTGGTTTCCTGATCACAATAATAAAAATCCAACAGAATCTATAAATGCCATTAATTGCAGCTATACATTTGATAAACCTGTATTAAGCACAAAATGTGTGGAGAAACTAGTGAAGAAAGAAGCAGTGGTGCTTCTGAATACTGAGTGCATTTGTGTCTCCATGAAACTGGGCCTGTTCTACTGGAGATGTTAATCCTCCTGCTCCCATGGACAGAATGGCATGGTTTAATATTCTGTTGTAATTGCACTAATTTTAATTTTGAGAAAAATGTAATAAATGGACATAAATTAATTTGGGTCATTTATATCTGTTTTACAATTTAAATTTGGGGTTTTGGTTGAATTGTTTCGGGATTATTGGACCTACCTTTTTTAACAGAATCTGTTAAGACTGTTGTGGCAAGCTTGTAAGATACACAGGATTCACCAAGAAATGTTGAAAGCGTGGTTTTACATTGGTGTTGTGTTAGTTGCTAAATGATTCCTGTTTTCATGTTTTCAAATTTTTAGCCATCAATATGTAATTTTTTAAGGAAAAATATATGTTGTTCAAGTAGTACTGTAGTATTCTCCACCACAGCAAGCTTGATAAACATTTGCAGGACCAACTGTTTTGTGAAATGCTAGGCAGCAGATAATTTAAAATAGTTTTGTTTTTTGGGGTTTTTTTGAGAGGGCTAAATTAAGGTTTTGAGTATATTTTTTACTTTTCCTATTATAAACACATTAATATATATAAATGCAGGTTATTAAATAATGTAAAAACCTAGCATTTTTAGAAAAGGCAAAATAGTTGAAGAGGGTTTGAATCATTTCAGGAGTTGGAGTATTTAACATGTTTTTGAATTGGTCTTTTTCTGTTTTTTATTTTCTCTCCTTTTTTTGTAATCCTTGTAGGTTTTACTGCAGCAACTGTGTTTGCATTTCTGATTTCTGTTTGCACATTGCAGGTTTCAATAAAGTGCAGTTTTGGTCCTTTCTTCCTCTAGGCGAATTATAGATTCCCGTGCTTATTAAATATTGAAGGGCTGTAATCAAATCAGGATTGTAGTCATCTGAAGCCTAAGGAAGTAACTTTACAGTATCTACAGACATTTTAATTATGACTGAAGAAGAGTTTATCATCCTTGCCAATTGATACTTTTAGCATAATTTAAATTTAGCTATCAATACTACTATTTGTATTTCTGTTTCCCATAGACTAAATTTGTAGTTAGCTGTCCTGAGCTAGGACCAGAGAATAAGAACAAAATACAAAAGTGCTAACAGTATCCAGTTGTTTTCTTCTAAGTCTCATCTTACATAGTATTTAATTTAAAATGTCACTTAGTAAAGAGAATTGCATAGTGATCTTAGGTGATGAGACAAGTAAATCCCTAACCTTTAGGTTATTAAGGAAAAAAACAATGGAGCAACAGTAAAATCTCAGATTTATTCTGTAGAATTTTTTAATGTTTTGCATATTAACTTTTAAGTCAACCAAGAGTTTTCAATCAGACTCTAGAAGTTAATTTCTTATTCTTTCTCCTTTAAAAAAAACCCCAAACTAATCAAGAAACCACCAAAAACCAAAAGCAGCAACAAAAGAAATCTGCTAAAGGTAACAGCCTCAGAACGTTGGCTGTTACGCACTGAGGCTCAGGTTGACTGGACACACAAGAGAAGCTGTAACACACATTCTTTGTGTCTTTTCTGGAGTGTTTGCATGAGTAATATTCCCAGTTTCTCTTACACTGTGTCAGCAGGTATGGGGGGGTGGAGTGGAGGGAAGCAGTGCCACTGAGAAACATCCAGGAAATAGATGTTTGTCCTTCTTCATGTCCCTGAGTCTGTCACTGATCAGAAAAGGAGGCAGCATGACTTTGGCCAAGTGTGCATACTGGGTTCACCCTGGTATGTGTAGGGTCTGCCTAAAATTAATCTTAGAAAAGCTTATTTTCCATGTATTGTTATTAAGAGTTAATGGCTAATTAGAAGTGGGATTTAGTCTATGTTTATTCTGTTACAATGAAGAATATGTTTACGTATAAGGAAGATGCATATGAAACTGTATTTCAGTTTATAAGAATATTTTTTTCTTTAAATTTTGATATTATGGTAATTGAAGTATATTGGTTCAGTAGTAGAAATTAAATCCTGACATTTTTACAGAAAAAGCAGCAATAAGGTATCACTTGTTCTTTCTCAGTGCTCCTTCTCGTAAGGGAATGAGCACTATCTAATGCCCAAGTCCTGTATACATCTGCATCAAAAAAACAAAACCTCCATGTGAGCAATCACTGAAACAGATCCACTAGAGAAGCCATAAACATTTTAATTAGGGCCACTATCAGGAATCTATAAAACTTGATGTGACAATGTATCAGGTTACCCTCACATGCAATGATCTCTTTTGTATCAGCATCTTGAAACATTTTTGTTTGGTTTTGAGTTAGAAATGTCAAGGGTATCTAAGCAGTTTAGTCACGGATAACCAGTGTGATACTCCGTGTTTTAGAACTCTGTGTCAACTGATGAATGTGTTTGTCTTCCTCTGAGGATGTTCCTTAATGCTGAAAGCTCCTAACAGCTTTGTTCAACCATGATCAGTGTGACATAGCACACTTTTTCAGCAAGCATTTTGTTTCTGTTTCTCACAGATGGTCTGCCTCCCAAAAAGACCAACTCCTCAGGACAAAACTATAGCCCCACATCTGTTCCAGTGCAAGAAAAGGATTAGCTAGTTTCCATCCTCCATGAGAAAAGGAGACATTAATATTGTATTAAGAATGATGTATTCATACCATTCAATATGTTGCTTTTTTCAAAATCCTGAAAATGTGTGACACAGATTTAAAAAATGCTTGTGACACCGCATTTGAAAAATGATATTTCTAAGCTGAAAGGCCACTAGTTTTTGTTGGATGTTTCTTGTGGTGTAACTGGTACTTGGCATTATTTGAGGAAAGGCTTGGCACCACTCGAGGGATGGCAGGGCACAGCAGAGGCAGCCTTGCTGTGTGTGTGGTAGGCAGCCATGGCAATTGCCCGTGACAGCTGGAGGTGGAGGTGTGTGCAGCCCGTGACGTACTCACAGCACCTCTTCAAGAGGCACCTCTTTGGATTGTTGTTGCCTGGAAAGTTTAGGGCAGTGTCTGAGAACGTTCAGCATAGTCTCGGGGTGACTCAGAGATGTTAGCTTGTTATTTCCACACAGCTTGCTCTCTTCAAGCTGTTCTCCAGTGTTTGAGAGCCACATAAATACTTTATTAAAAATGAGAGAGAGTCAGATTGAGACACAATAATGGGGCAACATGAGTACCTGAACTAGATACCAAAATAATACTGCTAATAATTCTGATGAATCATTTTTGAGCAACAGGAGGCACTCCCATCCCACAGGCTAAGCACATTGCCTGCACAGTTCTCTTAACCTTGAGAATGGAAAAATAAGAATTAGCTGAAACCTGTACAGCAGTGCTGACTACCAATAGATCACTGAACAAGAAGTGTACTCTGAACTGCAGCTCAACCAGTCTTTGTTGAAAATTTGTTTATGAAATCAAGCAGTTACACTACTTTTTTTTTTTTTTTCCTTCTGTGCATGTACATAATTATTCAGAACTCTTTAGGTGGTAGGCTTAGATGTTCTGGTAGATTATAAGAACTGAGTACAACTGTTTGCTTTTGTACTGAGTTCATCTGTAACTGCAGTGTGTTTCTGTAACTACTGTGGCAGTACCAAAACAGTCTGGAGACTGGATGGAGTTCAGAATAGTCAGTGATTTCTTTCCCATATGGGATAAGCCCAGCTAAATTATGCAAACCACACTGAGGGCAAGAATGCCTGTTCTCAAGAATGGCATTTATTCTACTGAGGAATTGCAAGGATTTTCTCTGTAATTTGTAATGGTGTTCCTTGGACCATCATAATAAAAAAAAATTTAAAAATGCAAACACTGAAAATAAAAAGAACAATACATTTTAGATATATTTTTTAAAAGCAGAAGAAAAAGAAGTTCATGCAAAAGATATATAAAGGAGTGGCTGCAAAATATGAAAGAGATTAAGTATGTTGGATTAAAATTTTCAGAATTAAATGGTTAGAATGCAGTATATCTGTTAGAGGTGGAAATGTTTACTTCACAAAGCACACATTTAACACTTCTGAAATATTTTAATTGATGTATGGCAGTGTATATCCTTTGCACACAAAATAGAGGGGAAATTGTTTTCCCCTTTGTGAAGATAGACCATTGAAAAAAAATTAAATAACACCAGCAAAGGACTTTCAGCTCTTCCTTTTTTTCCCCTAGACTGTTGTTCCTCTGCTAATTTTCATATTTTTTCTGTTCTAAATCTTTTTCTAGCTTAAGCATTTGACTATTTTACAAAAATAACTTTTTTTTAGGTACGGGCTTATCCTGATTTTTGCAATGTATGCATGCTATTCTTTTGAATTCATTGAAAGTCTGAAGAGCAAGTGGTGAGGATAGAACAATTAGAATTAAAGTACTGGTTATTAAGACCAACCTAAAATTCTCCATTACATGGAAGTGACATTTTTGCATATTGGTTCAGAGGTAAAGTACACTGCAACAACTTCTTAAATATCTGCTGTAGTGTTTGCAATGCAAACAAGCTTGGATTGCACAGTCTTCAGTCCAGTGCTGTCTTTAGTGCAGTGTATGTACTTGAAAAATTTAACATCTTTTTCTAAACATCTACCAGCCAATAGCCAATATTACTCAGTATTGCTTAACATCACTTCTGCTTTTTCTTTTTTCAAAAAAAGCATTTTGTTGCGGATAATTTTTACTGTCATACAGGAGAAATGAAAATATAATCATAGTTTAGCAAAATGCTTCATATTAAAATGTATAACAACTTATTCTTCTAGAATGATGACAGCCTGACTGCACTAGGAGTGGGAGGAGGAAACAGTTGTCCACCGGGGCAAGAGACAGTAAGTATTATGTAATTTTTTGCAATATCTTCTGTACCTGTTATATTGTATCTGCTTTTGAAAGCATGCCTTTTTTGTTTTTAGCATGATCCTAAGGACATCTTTTTCTACTATAGATTTTGTAATTCATACAAATATGTTCATATTACTTCTGGGTTTATATCAATCTTGAAAAACAATATTGTAAAATTTTCTTGAATATAGATTTTTTTTATTTTTTGCTTGGACGTTGACCCAAATAGAACTTGACAAATCTTTAAATTTTACACCAGAAGAAAGTCCACTGCTTTAGGTGTAATTGTGAGTGGTTTACATTCTTCTTTGGTTCTGAAGTGCATTTCTTATATAACGACAATTTCCATATTTTATTTAAATTGCCAGGTTTACTAAACCAGTTGTATTACAAGACACGTTGGTATATTAATTTCTTATTTCTGAGAGACAGACAGTGGCACTTGCTTGGTTGGTTTGAACTGTTTGTGGCAATTTCCATGTGACTGAATTTTTGGTTTTGGTTTTGTTTTTTTATACAATATTTGCACCAGAAGCATCTTGCAAAAGACCCTGCAAAAAAAACCCAGTAGTTCATGCTCTGCCTTTCATTGTATTTCATGCTGCCAAGCAATTGGTGTTACATTCCTATATTCCTTTTTGGGTGTTGTTTTTTTTTACCTTAAGTGACCTCATGGTTTGCATGAGATTGTCACTTAACTGAAGTGGGCACTGTCAGAGCACCTCTTACTGGACATGGTCATGGTGCTCATTAGTGTGGTTTAGTTTGGTTCTGTTCTACAATTCATATTTCTGTACTGCCAACATCACCTGTAATTACTGTTAGCTTTCCTAATGCAGGGAGGAGAGTTATGATAAAACACATTTCACGGTTTCATTTCTTTATGTAAATTAAGGACTACTGAGTGCATATTTAGGTAAATTTCCAGTCTACTGAAAACTATGCTGATACTAATTCTTTGGTGCTGACCAGCTCACAAATTGCCACATAAAATTTACAATGGTAGAATCACTTCCATCTTTTTCCATTCATAACTGATTTAATCTGTTTAATTGGTGACATGGAATTATGGAAATACAAGTGACATTGGCTATATTTCTACACACGCAACTCGCAGGTGATCTTGCTTGAAGCAGAAATACAAATACAAAAAGCACTGTGGAATTCAGCAGTCTTAACATTTAAATGCATGCATGAGTAATAAAAAATAAGGGGTTTTCCTATCCATATCACCATAACTTTGCTGTCTCCTTCAATCCCGTTACCCTCCTATTGCTCCTAATGATCCCTGTTTCTGACCTCTACTTACAATTTAGTAGAGGAATATGAGGTGAAGATTGTAGGTAGGGAAGCAGCATTCTGTGTGTAAAATAGGTCATAATTTTGCTCTTCACTTATGATGAGGGAAGTGAACAATTCCGTTATTCTTTCAGTTCATTTGTTTTCCTTTCATGCTTCTCTGCTCAGAGTTCACTAGGACAGATTTTTGTTCATAGGGCATAGGAGATAAATAAGAAATTGTACTTGATATTTTCATATTCAGGGTAAAAAGCAGGCTTCTAGTAGTTTATTTTATGTAGTATCCATAGTTCTGATGACTGTTAGTACTTTTTTTCATAAAAGCATATCTGTGCTGAATTTCACTGTCAAATGGATTTAATCTGTGACATGGAATAGAAATGTATTTTTTGCAGATATTTATGAAATTGTATATCCAAATGCTTATTGCTAAACAAAACAAATGAAAAATAGAAAAGAAAAAAGAAAAAAGCGGAGTGATCAAAGCAAAACTTTTCAGTGTCTTTTTGTATTAAATTTTTCCTTGGATAAAGCTGTCATACTGTTGAAGTATTTATTCAAACACATATGCTTCATGAGCACAGAGAGAATGGGATCTGAAGGTGGTGTAACAATTCTGAGAAAGTGACTGTATGAAGTTTTTTTTTCCCTTTTGCTTCACAAGCAAATTGCTTATAAAACTAACAGCTGCTGTTTTGAAGCTAATCTTAGTGAATTGAATGTTCTTAACCATTTCTGCAATCCCACAGTCCTTTATCTTGCCTCTCCTGCTGCTTTCCCACCACCCCTGATCCCATTAGCAAAACTTGAGGCAGCCTCAGCTTTTACCAAAGTGCAGCTTTGGTTTCAGCTGCTTTTCTGCAAGAGGAAGTGAATGTTGCGCTTTTTTCTCTGTGGCATGGTTGTGATAAAGCTGTGGTGTTCTTATCTCTCTTTTAGGTAGTGGCTCTTTATGACTACACAGCGCATCGATCAGATGAGCTAACCATCCATCGCAGTGACATTATCCAAGTGTTATACAAAGATAATGATAACTGGTGGTTTGGCAGCCTAGCAAATGGACAGCAAGGCTATTTTCCAGCTAATTATGTGGCTGGTGAAAGTAAGTTTACTGCTGTCTTCCTGGTATACCGGTGTGGGTTTAACTGATGCTCCAAGATTTTACCATGTTGTTCTGCTTATTGTTCTGAAGATAGGAATTTATGTAGTACACATGCGGCATAATGATGGCTTATTGTGGTGCAAAAATTGTATTAAGTTAGCTAACCATAGCACTTTCAGCTTATGGAATAAGTCAGTTTATTACTGACTTAATTATCTGTCAGCTGGATTGAGCCCTTGTCTCCTCTAACACAGAACCACCTAATTCAGGCCCCAGCTTAGCAATGTTTTAGGACACATCAGAGCATTTCGCAAATGTCTTGGGGTTTTTTCTTAGGCAATTTCCATTAAATCTAGCTTTTGTACAAACTTAATTTTCCCCCTGCTCTAATGTAGAATGTTCAGTTCCCAAATATCTGGATTTCAGTGTGAAGTTTTAAAAGAACAATAATGGTTAAATCTCACATCTGAGCATTGAAGTTGCTACCAGGTCCTTTTCATTAAAACTGTTTTGATTAAACTGATATAGACAAACATAGGTGAATTTGAACAAATAATATAGGAAGCATTCTACTTAATCCACTGCTGTAAGGATGCTCAGTGTGCTGGTGTAAACATTCAACTTGTGGACACAGCATGTGGTTTCACACTACAAGAAATTAATTTGCCTTCCTAAACTATCAAAGTATCAGTTATACTGGTATTTAGAAATCTTTTAACCCAACATTTCTCAAGATGGTTTCCCTCATTTTTTAGTTCCTCCCTATGTCTTTAAAGTGAAATCTAGTATTTAAGCCTCTTTCCTAAAACACACTTGCACATAGCACTGTGCTCACTTGATGAGGTCAATTAAAGTTAGATTTACTATGCCCTTCCCTTCTGTCCTCTCCTTGTCATCCTGTGCATTTTGCCCTGCATTTCCTCCTTGTAAGATAACCCAGAGAGAAGTCTGAAGGAAGAGTCTTCAGTGAGGACCTTAAAAAATGTTCTGAAAACAAAAAAAGACAAAACCTAAACAAAGTTTTTGAGGCAGTTGTCCAATTGTGAAAAAAAACTTCTGGTAAATAATTGCTATTGCAGTTGATAATCATGTTATTGAATCAAAAGAAGTACGTAAGATACGTTTGTTAAGTATCCACTGCTTCCTAACACTGTAGACTTTGTTCTTAGGTAAATGTTTGAATGCTTTCATACAGTAACCGATATATAAATCACATTTAAGTCTAAACTTGCTAGTATAAATAAATGTTTGTGGGAGAAATTTTCATAAATTCTCATATAACATTTGCCTTCAAACGTTTTTCACCTGTTTTCGTTCACATCCTGGTTTTGGCTAGATTGTAACGTCATGGTGGTTCACAAATTCTTTCATAGCTCTAATAATGGCAAATTATGGTTCCTCTTTTCAGAAGAATATGAAGAACAACCTTCAGGATTAATACCAGATTCTGCTCCTCTCCTACCAGAAGGACCAAGAGAAGCAGAGGAAGGTTTTCTGACACTAGATAATTTGAGAAGGAAGGATTCTGTAAGTAGAGATACTTACAGGTTGCCTTTTGCATGCCACATGGAATGTATTAATTTTTGAGCCTTTATGTAAAAAAATTTTACATGTAGATCTCATTCCAGGCAAGCAGAAGTTTAATATTGATCTTATGTTGAATCAGCTGTTTCATTATGTGGCAATTAAATATCCTGCTTACTTCCACCGTTCTGATGGGTGGCAAATCTCCCATTGACTCCAAGTTTACAGAAGTTATGCGTGTGTAAGCATTCCTCTTTCTGTGATTTTTGTTAGTCAGAATATGCAGAAGAAAAAGAAAGAGGACCTGGTTTTAGTCCAGGAAAAAAAGTAGACATTTGATTTTTATGGACTGGGTGTTTTTTCTCCTGAATTTTAGATATTCCACTGTATGCAAAGCAGGCCAATTAACTCTCATTTCTTGAGGGGATTAGAAATTTTGCATGCCTATGTTTCCTTTCTGTGAAATAAACTGACAGTTGTCTTAAAACATGGGATATCTTCTAGGAAATAAAATAAGTAAAAATTAGTTCAACAACTGTTAGAATTCAAGAAATTTTTATTTCAAAATATTTGTATCCTTAATAAGTGTGCTTTCCACAACTGTTCATTTTCATGTACTGAAATGGTACTAACACAACTACTTTAAAAGTGTTGTTCAGATTTCTTTCAAATTATTTGACTTTTCCATGTGCTTTACTAAAATTGAATCTAATATTTTGTGTCTGATTTGCAAGACTCTAAGCATATTCTGTGTTGCTTAGTTACAGCTTCTGGGGACTTCTTCTCAAATGATTCATCTAATCTTTGCTCCATAGTGTATACAATCATAGAATTATTTAGGCTGGAAAAGACATTGCAGTGTTCAAGGTTAAAACACTCAAGACTATTTCTGTTGACCTTTTTGTGCAGCTTCTGTTTTTTGTAAGTGAATAGAGAGAGGTAGCATTTAATAAATTATTGAGCACAGATTACTCACTTGGCAGTCTTGTTGAAGCTGACTGCTATGTGTTTGTTTCTAACATACTTGAAAAATGGAATTTATCACTACACTGAGTAGTAGTAATTAATCTGAAGTATTCTTTACCTCTTTGTAGCTGAGAAATTCCTAGGGAAATCATTGTCCAGGAAATACAGGGGTGCTCTACTTCCAGATACTTCTGTAAAGGCAGATTGGAATAAATACAAGAAAAATTATATTACTGATGATTTATTTAATTTATTGTCTGCATGGCTAGAGGCAAGGAGGGTATCCCGGAGGATGTTTTTGGAATCACCCAGTTTCACTCATACCTGGATTAGAAGAGAGAGAAGCACTGTTATTCCTATTTCTATTAGGCTTGGTCTTTGTTATCCACATATTTTTTTTCTATTTTAATCTGGTAGGAATTTTGTCAATTTACTGCATCACAATACTTGTATGTACACCAACTACTTTTATGTACACCAACTACATAACTTATTAACATTTGCAACCCATATTTGTTATTCACCTTTGTGAGAAGCAACATTTTATTAGTTTTGATTGCTCAGAATTTCTCAAGTGTCTATGGCTGACATACTTTTCTAACACCAGTTTTTTTATTACTGGTAGTACTTGTTTTAGTAACACTGAGTTTTAATATTATGTAATTAAAATGCTCTTAAATTGAATTCTGCTTGTGCCTTGAATTAAATTAACTACATATTTAATAATTAGTTGGAATTTTGTAGTAGTCTATATAGTCTACAAGAAAGACATAATGAATCAAAAGTTCAGTATCAGTCCAAAACCAGGCAAATACATTGCTTTTCATCTTGCACAGCAGCCAAGGGTAGTACAAAATCATACAGATTATGGACGGAAATTGTGAAATAGGTCCTGGAAAAAATTATATAAGGGGATATACCTATGAGATTAAACTAGCAAAGAATGAGCACAAAATAGAACCTAATGTGAAGTCAATGCACTCCTCTTTCTTTTACTTTTCTTTCCTTCTGCTGTTAAACAAGGTCAGGAAGCATTAAGCTGGAATGGAACACATCTACTATTGGTAGAAGGAAATTTTTGTTTATGCCATGCTTAGTTACCCTGGTGAACTCAGCTACTACAAGATGCTCTTAAATGTGTGTGTTTAGGGATTAATTGCTTTAATAACATGTTTTAGGCTGAGGTAATGGCTGAAATTTCAAAAGCATTGGAATAACTGGAAGCACAATGTGGTGGTTTTTTTTAAATTTTGAGTCACATCAGCACTGTATAAGCCATCAAGAAGATAGTGAGCTGAACCAACTGACGAATCAAATCTCTGTAAGACTTATGATGCCTTGAAGTGTAATAGGTTTACAAAAGCTGCAGAGTTCTGCAAAGAAGAAACAACTTGTCATTCAGCTGTTTGCCAGAATGAATGAAAATTGTGCAGGGCTTTGGCTTTAGGCAATACCAGAGACTTCTGAGCCAAAACTGCTGAGATGACCACTGAGGGGGCTCATCGGTTATGGCAGTTCCTGTCTTGCAGCAGTGACACAGCAACTTTTCTTCCCATTCCTTTCACTTTTTTTCAGTATAAGACCTGATGAAGGGAAATGCCAATTTCCTTTATATGGGAGATGAGAAAAACTTAGTAAAACCCTGTGTTTTGTTGGGGTTTTGTTGGGTTTGGGCTTGGGTTTTTTTGCTTTGGTAGAAAAGCTTTTATTTTTTTAATCCAAAAATATTTATTGAGTAATTAGGTTGTTGCTTAAGTTGTTGACACAAGCAGGAAAATATAAATTAATATTTTAGTTGTCTGGTTTTTGGACACAAGAATGTTTTCCCAAATACTTAGTTATACTTAGGTCTGCTATATCTATTGTTCTTTCTGGGTTTTTTTGAGGACTACTCAAATGTTTAGCGCTGTTAAGACTGCAAAACAGTGACTGTGAAAATCATCCTAGCAATTACATGTAGATTTTGGTACTGTTCAAGACTAAATAAGGCACTTTAAATGTTGACTATGAATATGGTTTTAATTACTGAGTATACCAGATATTCTAATTAAGAACAGTTTTCCAACTGCAGATATTACACATGCATATCTAGCTAATCGTCAGAGCCTTATGAGTGAATAAAGTGGAATTATTAACTTTAGAAGAGGGTGTAATACTTAAGATCCAATATTAAGCTTTGCAAATAATTTCTAGAAAATATTTAGTTCAAAGAACTTTCTTTCAAAATACTTTCTACCATCAGTTTTGCATTCATAACAATAATTTTATGCAAACCTTGTTTTCCTGCCTTAGGAGTTACTTAACTCCTGAGCCACAAAATTAGGTCATAATCATCTTTAATTACAACATGCATGTAAACTGCCAATTGAAATTTCATGGAGTGAAGTTCTCGCTGCACTGATGGAGAACTCCAAGAAATAGGGATGGACTTATAATCTGGCTGCTCCAGTTAATGTGTTGTTTTCATGTTCCTTAAGATGAAGGTGGAAAGGACGGGAATTCAGATAGGGTTCTATTAGAAACCACAGTGTGGGTTTTGCAAAATTTTGGGCAATCAGAAACATTTCAAAGTTGATAGTGTCTTTTTTCTTTTTTTGTTCCCCAGAAATTTTCTGCTGGCTATAAGATCATGTAAACATATTTTATAATTGAATGGCCTGCCACTCACTACATGAAATACATGTAACTGGATTCTGAATATTAAACATGCAATGCCATGTTACATGAGAATAGTAGGAAGTAATAATAGACAAAACAGTAAATTTAAAATTTCCATTAAAAGTATAAGAAAGTATTCTTTCTGATATATTTATCTTTGGAAAATGATGTCAAGATGTAAACAGAAAAAAAAAAGAAAAGGCTTACTGGCAAGAACCACATTACTATTGCACAATTTGAATAATCTACCCAAAGGTCATCAAAACTTCATTCCATGTGTATTTAAACAAACTTACAGATTATCACTGTTCACATAAATAATTCATGGTCTCACTCTTGTTCCGCTAGAGGAGGTTCTTGTCAGACTTTGTGAATTCTGAACCCAGTGTGTCTGAAATTAACCTGCCAAACAATTGATGCTTTTCCCCTGGGCTTGGGCTGTCTACATGTGGGTGACTTTGTGGGCTTAAAATTTACCTATGGAATCTAAAAATTTAAAAAGCATGGAAAGCTTGTTCCATATTTCAAAAATAATAGCTAGAAATTTTTCTATTTGTTTCATCAAACACTTTTATTTTATAGTTTGTACTGTTTCTGTTTTCTCCATTAATGTTACCTTTCTTCAGGTTACTGAGGAACACTTCAGAGTCTGATTATCTTTTAGGAAGAGGAGGGGGAAATAGAAAGATGTGATTATGCTAATGAGGGAAATACTAAGGAATTAATACAATGAAATTCTTGCAGTGAATAGATCTGAAGACTTTTGACACATCATGAAGTCTGTTCATTTTCAAGGTTCAGGGAAACAGCAGAAAAAAAAGTGATTTTCAATTGAATTAGAATGTATTGAAGTGAAGTTCATAATTCTGGGCTTCATTCCTAGCTAATATGATTACAGATCTCTCTTTCTGAAGGTATTGACATCTGGGCTGAAAGAAACTCTGCTTTTCTAGAATCAGTCTGCAAAGCCACTGTCTAGTCTTCCACATATATTGTTTAATAGCATTATAAAATAGATATTTCTTTATAAATCCTACTTTTGAAGTAGTAATTACTTTGATTATTCTTTAAGAAATCGTTCATCTGAAGGAAATGCTACTATGGCACCGTCTATGAGGAATGGGTCATTTTTCTTAGTTTTTACCCAATATTAACATATTTTAGCTTTTGAGTTCTTCAGTTTCCTATTTCTTGGTACTCTGTTTTTTTCCTTTAAAATGCAGTTTATACTGTTTGAGATAGGATCATAGAATTTGAAGGGGCTGGAAAGGACCTTGAGGATCATCTAGTCCCAACCCCCTCTGTCATGGGCAGGGACACCTCCCACTCTCCCAAGTTGCTCAAGGCTTTATCTGACCTGGCTTTGAACACTCGCAGGG